AGGAACATGAGAAGCATCATGTCTACACCATGGACGACGAGACGGTCGTGGAGACTGGCTTCCTGTACGCAGCCCGGGCGCCCGGATCTACGATAATGAAAGTCGGAATGTCCAAACAGCGGGACCCCAGCTTATACATAGCGAGACGGTACGCATTCGTTCTAGAGCCATTCGCCATCATGGGAGTGGCCGACGCCAACATGGCGGAAAAGATCGCATTCCACAAGCTGAAGCCATGGCACGTCACGCACGAGATCTTCGAGGCACTAGATTGGGAGTTGGTCCAAGACATATTCGAAGAGACTGCTTATCTAGTGGCTGACAGAGACCGTTGCTTAGAATATTGCAGCGAACACGGTATACCATTGGTGACAGAGGGCAGGAATACCAAGACGATACATCATTTCGAAGACTTCGCACTCTGATTGCACATTTCAACGTTTGATGCCCACCACCCTAGAACCATCCGGCAACTCTACCTCTATGACTACATCAGGCGGCTTCGTATTCTCTGCTCGTACTACGCTAGGTGGTTCTACGACGGGTCCTGATAATGGCACTAGTGTCAACGGAGTCGTATCGTCTCTGTTACAATATCCTACGATCATCGCGACTGCAATCAGCATCTCTAAGAAACCTATACCTATGCACCCGTACACGAAGAGTCTGCCGGGTTGCCGAGTAGATCCCTCCGTCAGGAATCCTATCACCAGGAGCAAGAACTTTTGACAGCCGAATCTGACGTCCGAGTTGTATTCCAGACAGGGGGATAGAATGAAATAGAGGATGTCTAAGACGATGGGAACCAAGTAAGATAGGGGAATTTCGTTCCCCAGGGTGGACACCACCACCAACATGAGGCTCGCTACTACCGCGTCCAATGCGAAGAGCACGGACGCCAGCATCATCCTCCTCAGAAGTCGTCCTCTACGAAATCGCCGTACGTCAGGCCTCCCTTCTTCCCCTTGTTCAGCGTCTCGATCACACCAGCCTTTTGATAAGAGCTCACGTGCGACTCGAACATGTTATTCTTGGACGTCAGGGAGATTAGTTCCATAAACCCGAAGGGGTTCTTGCTGCCGTAGTGAGTCTCGTAACCGAGGCTATGGAGCAAGCGGTCCGCCACGCACTCGATGTATGCGGACATCAACTTCTGGTTCATCCCAATGAGGGAAACAGGGAGTGCGTCGCAAGCGAATTCCTTCTCTATGTCCACAGCCCCCTTCACGATCTCCAGGATCCTCTCGGACGACAGCTTCCGTACCAGCAGGTCGCGGTACAGGTGGCAGGCAAAGTCCGTGTGGAGCGCCTCGTCCTTGGCGATGAGCTCGTTGGAAAATGTCAGCCCCGGCAGCAGGTTCTTGCTCTTCAGCCAATAGATGGCGCAGAAGGAGCTGCTAAAAAGGATGCCCTCAACGCACGCAAACGCGACCAGCCTCTCAGCAAACGAGTCGGAACTCTCTATCCACCTCACGGCCCAGTCCGCCTTCTTCTTCACGCACGGGATGCTGTCTATCGCCTCGAACAACCTGTCCTTCTCCTCGGGGTCCTTCACGTAGGTGTCGATCAGCAGGCTGTAGACCTCTCCGTGGATGCTCTCTATGAAGGCCTGGCAGGTGTAGAAAGCCCTGGCTTCCTGTATCTGCACCTCCGTCAGGAACCTGGTCCCGAGGTTCTCTATGACTATGCCATCAGCTCCAGCGAAGAAGGCCAAGACGTGCTTGATGAAGTGGCGCTCGTCCGCGGACAGCCTATGCTCCCACTCGTAGGCGTCCTGATCCAGCTGGATCTCCTCCACTGTCCAGAAATTGGCGACCGCCTTCTTGTAGAACGACCAGGTCTTGGGGTATTTGATGGGGAAGGTGCAGTACCTGTGAGGATCCGTCTCGAGGAGGGGTTCTCGTTCTGCCATGTCTCAGAATGACGCCCTCGTACCTTACGACTGCACAACTTATACACGGTTTCGGACGCGAGCCGACCGTTTCGGACGCCCCGCGAGAAACATTCTGTGGAAGCCCTTTCGGACGCCGCTTTCGGGCGTCTCAGGCTTCGCCGTGGTAGATGTCGTCCACCAACTGATAGTCCACCTTTTTCACTCCATATCTCCTCTTGAATTCCTCGATGAGTCTCCCCCGCAAATACTTCTCGTTGGCACTCGTCATGTGCCCGAAATCCTTGTGCGTCGTCCGGATCAATTGCGCGAACTCCAAGCGAGAGTCTCCCTTTCGGGCGGCGAAGCCGAAATCGATCAACAGAACTCGTCCGATATATTTAGTGCCCGGTCTGTACTTGAATGCTATGTTCTCCCAGTGGAGATCGCCGTGAGCGAGTCGCTTCTTCTGCATCTTGTCGATGAATGATATGAGGACTTTGAGCATGACGTCTAGCTCCCACCTCTTGCGATCCCGTCTCAGCCACGATGACAGCGTGGAATCCACCTGCTGCATGAGGACGACCGACACTTTCTTCTGCTTACGGCCGTGCTTGATCTCGTCGAAGTCTAATCCGAACGCTCGCGGCGCCAATCCATTGCGCCAGAATTCGTTCTGTATGTCCATCTCCACTCTATCTCGTGCTCTGTCGAGTTTCTTGGAGATCTTTGCGACGCGCCTCTGGCCGGTCTTCCTGTTTCGGACGAGGATCACCGACCCACTCGCCCCCTCGCCCAAGTGCTTTACGAAAGCCCACTTCTTCCAAAGCTTCATCGTAAAGCACCTCTCCGCCGCCAGGCACGGGGCCATGCTGCCGGTGCCTTTCTGACCGTTCATAGCTTTCTTCCATTCGGTGACGGAGAACCCTCCCTCGAATAAGTCGCGCCCCATCTTCTGAGCACCTTCGACCCCGGCTTCACACAGATTCTGCTTCACGCCGAGCTCCGCGAGTCCCTCTCCCGTGATCCAGTTCACCTTCTTCCCAGTCTTAAGCACGGCCGGCTTCAAGGCTTTCCTTGGTCTCCTCTCGCGCCGGGTCCTCCGTCTCCTCGGGACTTCGAGTCTCTCACGGTGCACTCTACAGTATCGATAGTCGCCCGACCCGCAGGCCGCCTTGTTCTTGCACCGCGTACCGTTCTTGGTCGGAGCTATGCAGCGTCCGCACGCCTTTTTCTTACGAGCTCGCGCCATGTATCTCTCGTATGATTGAACGCGATATATTTTTCGTCCGTTCAGTGTAATCTTCGAAGCAAAGAGATATGATGCACTTCATAACATTCGGTACTCATGGAATCTACAATGATTTCGCACGTCAGCTGGCCAAGAGCGCGCTAGCAGCCGGCTTCGACACCGCGACGGTCTACGACGAGACGGATCTAGACCCCGCGTTCCGGGAATCTCACAGGGACGTGCTCGCACTCCCGCGTGGCTTCGGAGCGTGGTGCTGGAAGAGCTATTGTATACTTAAGCGTCTGAGTGAGTTGGAGGAAGGAGACGTCGTGACTTACTGCGACTCTCTGTACGCGTTCAAGAGGGACTTTAGGGAGGCCGCGGAGGACTGGCTAAAGACCCAAGACCTGGTCTTGTTCGAGAACAAGCCTTCGGAGCCGAGCTACAAGGAGAGACACTGGACCAAGTACGAGGCCTTCTGCATCTTGGGTGCAGACCCCGAGGTGCATGGACAGACGTCGCAATGCTGGGGTGGATTTCTGATGTTACGCAAGACTCCAGAGACCGTGAGATTCATCCAGGAGTGGTACGATAGATGTGCCAACGTACGCCTGATGAGCGACGAAAGAAGCGTTCTAGGAGAAGAGCTTCCGGGCTTTATCGAACCGCGCCAAGATCAGATGGTCCTCAGCCTCGTAAGCAAGACGAAGGGTCTAGGATATCCTTTCTTGCATTTCCCGGCGGATCTCATGTATAACGTCAGGATAGGCAGGTAGCACTAGACGTGAAGGTTGCATTAGCTGTTTTACGGTTGGATGAACTAACGCAGACAAGTGCGTTCAAACCCTGACCCTTTTTCTATAGGGATATGTCAAACACAGATGGGGTATGTCAGGTTGTCCGAAGCAGCCAACCACTTCGGTGTATGTACCAGGACTCTCATCAGATGGGAGGCAGCCGGAAAGATCAAGGTCGAGCGTAGCCCTGGAGGCAAGCGTATCTACGACCTCAAGAGCCTCGATCCCTCCAGCGAGCGCGCCTCCTACATCTATACCAGAGTGTCCAGCCAGAAACAGAAGAACGATCTTCGACGTCAAGAGTCATATCTGCGTGACCAGTACCCCGGACACTCAGTTATCAGCGACGTCGGAACGGGCCTCAACTTCAAGAGGAAGGGACTTCTATCCCTTCTGGAACAGAGCGAGAAGGGACTTGTACGAGAGGTTGTGGTTGCCTCAAAAGACAGACTGTGTCGTTTCGGATTCGATCTGCTCTCGTGGTTCTTCGAAAGACACGGTGTCCGCCTCGTGGTTCTCCAACAAGACGATAAGTCTCCGGAGGCAGAGCTGGCAGAGGACGTGCTCGCGGTCGTTCAGGTGTTCGGTTGTCGATGGAACGGGAGAAGAGGTTACGGAGGAGGAGAAACAGAACGAAGAAAGCGAGCAAAAAGAAGCAGAGGAGTTGATCAGGATGCGAAAAGTTCGGATCCTCCCGAAGAAGTATCAGAAGAGAATGCTGAACGACTGGAGGCACGCGGCTCGATACAGCTACAACAAGGCCGTTTTCCTCATGAATGAGACCGCGAGCTTCAATAAGATGTACCTCCGAGACATGATCACCCCAGCAGAAGTAAATGGAGACAAGCCACACCTCTTGAAGACACCCAAGGACGTGAGGGCCGCTGCGGTTTTCGAAGCGGCCAAGAATGCCAAAGCCTGCTTCAGCAATCGAGAACGTGGGAACATCACCGGGTTCCGACTCTCCTTCAAGACGAGGAAAAGGGAGGACTCGAAGGGGTGGTGCTTGGGGATCGCAAAGACTGCTATCAAGCGCAGGGGCGATCGCACCCTGATCATCTACGGAGATTATTGCCCTTGGGAGTTCGAGACATTGGGTGCCATCGGCGAGATCACCAAGGACTGTCAGCTGCAATTCGATGGTGCCAAGTATTATCTCCTGGTGCCCTACTCGAAAGCGCATCCAGCAAAAGTGAAGGGAAACGCCAGATCTCTCATCAACGAGACACGAGAGGCAGTGATAGCCCTGGACCCGGGAGTCAGAACATTCCTGACCGCCTACAGCCCCAGCGAGGCATACAAATTGGGCGATGGGTGTGCGCAACGCCTCTTCTCGTTGGCTATCACCTTGGACAGACTGCTCGCTTTCGAGAAGCGCATTCCGAAGGACCATAGGAAGAAACGAAGAGCAGTGAGATTGCGAATCATCAAGACACGAAGAAAGATAGCTCATCTGCGTGACGAGATGCACTACAAGGTCGCGGACTTCCTCACACGAAAAGCGAAGATCATTCTGTTGCCGACATTCGAGACCAGCGAGATGGTTCGAAGATTCCAATGGCGGATCGGGAGCAAGAGCGTCAGGCAGATGTCGTTCCTGTCACACTACAAGTTCACACAGCGGCTGATAGCCAAGGCTGCTGGAAGGGGAGTGAGAGTCCTGATCGTTTCCGAGCATTACACGAGCAAGACCTGTGGCAGGTGTGGGGAAGTGAAGCAAAACCTAGAGGGTGCGAGGATCTTCAAGTGCGGAAGCTGCTTCGCAGTCATAGACAGGGATTGCAATGGTGCTCGGAACATACTACTTCGTGCGATACGAAGGAAGTGATTCGCCCCTCGGGGCGACTGCAAGATGGAGCCATGGCGAATATGTCATGCTTAGCCTGACAGACCACCGGACGATTGTATAGATGTCACGGTCTGTTCAGTGATTGATCCATCAGACCAAGGGAAGCCACCAAGGCCCAGAGCATAGCATCAGTACCACTATCACCCCTATGAGCAGACCCGTTCCCCACTTCTCGACTCTCTTGCCTCTCGCCGCGACGGTCGCATTCGAGGACCTGCTCATGTCCCAACCCACGGCCGTCAATACGATTCCGATGAGTACGAGCAAGGTCACTACTGCAATGGTAGCAAACTCTACCGTACGGTCCATGATATATATATACTACTTTTGAACAGGAAATAAAATGTTCAACATCTGTTATGTATGCGGATGAATGACTACACGCTTCTCATCCCTGGATTTGGTTCCACAAAGACAGCTATAGAATCTATAAGAGAAATGCTTAGAGTAAAGTGCACAGGGATGATCGAGGTCTTTGACTACGACACGAGAGGTATCTGGGATCTCGGCAACTTTTTGCGTAATAGACTATTCATCAGCACAAAGACGGACAGGTTGACGAGGCTGCTGACTAAGCTCTCCGAAATCACGAGCCTGCCTTTGGACGTTCGCGTGCACATCATCGCACATTCACATGGGGCTCTCTTGCTACACAAGGCTCTCATGACGCTGTCAATCTCGGCTCGACACCAGCTTCAAGTGCAGAACGTCACGGTGGACGCATACGGACCTGCGAAGCTGATCCCTGCCTCGTGCGAGCATTACGCGCTCCGGGGCGCGACCAATCACTTTCACGAGAAGGATTGGATTCTGAGGTTGCATGGAAGGTTGCAGAGGACCGACGAACCCGAATTCGATCACAGGTCTTCCGATGGGACCGTCTTTCATATCAAGATGACCAAAGATCCGCGTTACGCTTCCGGTAGAGATGCACACCAATCCTACTACGACGAGAGCATCTGGGACGCCATGGGCTCTTGCAAGATTTGAGGGTGGGCAGAGCCCCAAAATAAAATCTTTCTATATAGCAAGAACGCATGTCTAACATCACGATCGCTCCGGGGAGTCGTGCATACGTAAAGGATAACGACTTATTCGGAACCGTGACGCGTACCAATCTCTTAGGCCTGTCGAACACTCCGGTTATCCAGCTGGACGATGGGAAGAGCCAAGCATACATCGGACCACTGAGGAAGAACGTGGTGGATGCCGAGAAGAAGGTAGATTTCGATGGACAGAGCGTTTCGGTGCCACTGGATGTGTTTGGCGTGGGCAGAGACCAACTGACCGCGTTCGGGGTCTCGGCGGAGAAGCAGAACCAGATGTTCCAGAAGTGGAGAACACTGCCTAAGAATCAGCAAGAGGCTTACACTCAAAGCTGGGACTCCCTGGACAAGAACGATTCTACCGCTCTGCAGGGGTTCCTTCAAGGGATGATAGATGCTCTCTCCTAATTCATCTAGCTCATCTTCGAGGCTACTACAGCTGCAGCTGCTCGCAGCACCTCCCGTGCACTCTGACGACCATCTATGCGGTACACCTCGTCGAAGTGAGCTTCCTCGCTGGAGAGGAAGTCGTGATACTTCGCCTCCAACTTCTTCAAATAGGCCAGAGTGAGCGGCGTCTCCGCCTCTCTCCCCCTCTTGCGTGCGCGTTCGAAGCAGACCTCAGCTGGAGTGTCCACCCATATGCAGATCTTGGGCACCTCCAGCTGCTGCGTGCTCCGGTCATATAGCTGCCTGAAAAGGGCCCATTCCTCAGGGTCCAGAGTTCCGTCCTCGTGCAGGAGCTCTCCAAAGACGAACCTGCACGAGGCGGGTGATCTCTCTATGAAGCTGAGTCCGGTGCGCTTGGGCATAGACATGAAGCTGCAGAGGACCTTAGTCTGCAGTGCAAAAGCCCATCTCCTTTGGTCTTCATAAAACCTACGCAACATAGGTGCCCACTCATCCACAGGTTCCAGCTCGATAGGGCATTCGAAGAGTCGCCCCAGACCTTCAAGGAGAAGACTCTTGCCACTACCTATGGAGCCTTCGATCGAAATATTCATTTTCGGAATCTGTGTGTCCGAGACGCGCCACACGCCCCTCTTCTTATATAGACTGCCGCTTTTCGGGCGCTGCTCTCGGGTCCGCGTCCGAACAGCGTATTTTTCGCTACCATGCACGCGACACTCCCGTCTTTAGTTCCACGCTTGCCACTTGTCGAGACAGGGTGTCGAACTATCCGAAAGTCTGCTGGCTTACATGACCCTCACATGGCAGTGGTGCCACTTGTTCAACGGTACATCTAAATCTCTCTTCTTATTGGACGAATGTACCACCTAATTGTGAGGAACGTGTGCGTGGTACTTGACTGGCGTTGACTTCGACGGGATTCTTGCCCATATCTCGGATATCAACCATTAGCGGGAGATATTACGTCACAATATCCAAGTACAACATTATTAATAACAATATCAGTACGGTGCCCATTGGTTCGTCATAGAATGCACCTGAAGTACATGTCAGCAACCCTAATTGATCCGTATATTCTATCAGAAATATATATTTGCTCGGCAGTGTCTAAAATTTTCTTTCGTATACCATAAGTCCGAGGTAGTGGTAACCGCCGCTGATGAGCAGTCTGAGTCACAACTGAGAATGATCATTGGCACTTTTCACGTGTATATTTCAGTTTCGGGCGCGATGGCTACCCCAGGCGCGTTGCCTATAGCCTTCTCGGCTTCCCTTCCATTTCCACTTTGAAGATACACATACCACATAAAGCAAGAGCTCAAACATCACTGCTTCCTCCAGCATCGCTCACGCCTCCACGCCTCCTGAAAAGCGCTCACCTGGCTGACGGAGGAGCATGCCATCATGGCATCCGGGTTCTTTTCGGCAGCAGACGATGCGGGGTGAGAATCCTGGCCGAGCTGTAGCACACTTCCCTCTTTCTGTGCAATTCCAATCGCTACGCATCTGCTGTGTGCTAGACCTTTGCAAGAGAGAGGGTGGGTGGATCTCACCAAATTGCTTCTCCAGCCCTATTATGTAGGCAGCCTAGAATTGCATTCAGCAGGGTGGTGGGGATTAAGAATTGCATTCAGTAGGGTGGTGGGGATCAAGAATTGCATCCAGTAGGGTGGCTTTTAAGAATTGCATCCAATAGGGTGGTGGGGTTTTAGTAGTTGCATCCAGTAGGGTGGCGGAGTACTGAATCTTAAGTTCAAAAGGTTTCACCTTGGGTTTCTCTCAAACAACCCGTCGACCGATCAGAGCAAATTCAGATTGCCTACAATTCAGATTCAGATTGTATATGCTCTAAACCTGTAAGCTTGATCTGAGCAGAATCGCAGAGTTGCAGGGTTAGGGTTCCTTTTCCCTGCTCTCTGCTTGGATTTCTTCCTAGAAACTCATCAAAGCTGCAGAGTGGTGGTGAAGTCTGATACTTTGTGTGTAGGGTTCTGGATTCTGCGTGGATAAACCCTTCTCTCTGCATATTTGCAGATATGAAGCTGCACTCGCGATTGAGCACAGTGTGGCTGGAGAGATCAACGACGGGTTTGTGGGTTTCCTTCTCGGGGATCGCTTGAGGCTAGAAGCAGAGCTGGAGTTGGCCAGACAGGCAGCCGAGAAGGTTAATGATGAGAACACGCGGTTGCGCATTCAGATGGAGATGCGCGACGAGGAGATCAAAAGGCTGAAGAGCAAAAGGGGGCGCTCTGATCATCTTGGCCTGGAGCTACCTAACGCCAGCACTCACACGCAGTCAAGCTAGATAAGGTCGAAAGTGATCATGAGGTAACCTTTTAGCAATCGATTGCTATATGTGCCAAGCACGATCAATTTCGGACGGCGTTCCGACTCGCGGATCAGGGCAAACCTCTTGTTGTAGAAGGTGCAAGTGTAGAGTCGTCTGACTTTTGCACCGAGGTTTACGTGGAGTTTTGGTAGTTGAGACCACGGATGGAAGGCAGAACCGGTGTTTGAATAGTAAGTTGAGTCGAGGTGTAACATAGTTTGTAACTTAGTTGTACTTGTACCAAGGTTTACGTGGAGGATTGGTTGTTGGAGATCACGGATGTAAGACTAAACCGGTGCTTCGAATAGCTGGGCTGAGTCAAGGTGTAACTTAGTTTGTAACTTAACTGTAAGATGCGGGTTGGGGCCGCGCAACTTACAGTGGTTCTGTGTCTGTACGAATAGGATAGTCTGATCTATGCTCGTCGATAGAATCCACTCATCTATAGATACAGTCTGTTCAGAGTAAAATGGCACACTCGCCACAGTACCCAGCCGTATCTCGGATTCTCACCGAAGTGCCTAGATGAACTCGTTTCTAGGCAGCTATGTCTTTCGACTAATTCTCAGTCATCCTCACAATGCTGCTCTCGTGAAGTCCGCTGGCCTGCCCTCGCCTCTGGCTATGCTCATACAGATCCAAGCTATGT